CGGACTGCGGCCCCCGAGGTGCGCGGGGGCCTCGGCGCCCTGCAGCTCCCCGGCGCTGTAGCAGCGCGGGGACGCGGGGACGCCCGGGCGCCGCAGCCCGCGGCTCAGCCCCAGCGCGCACCGCAGCGCCAGCGCTCCCAGCCAGCCCTGCCGGAGAGCGGAGTGAGCGGGAGCGCGCGGACACGGCGCCCTCTCCCCTCCCGTTTCTCCCCCCACGCCGCGGCACACGCGCGTGCGTGCACGCGCCGGGGCAGAGCCCCGCACACTCGCACCCGCAGACGCACGCGGAGCCCGCGCGCTTGCACAGACACCCAGCGTGCCGGTGCACGCTCTTGCACACGTGCTCGTGCACCGCGTGTTGGCTGTGAACACACGTGTCAGCACAGAAGCATTAGCTCCTTTCATGTGCACAGAGCTAGTAGCATGTGCATGCACACGCTAAGTGCACACTACCTGCATGTACGTGCTCCCCTGCACTGCCGTTTCGTGTGCACCCCCGCACATACACACACACATACATGCAGACACGTATAGAGCCCTGCTCTATACCTATATAACTCTTAGAGACACCCAGTGCCTGCAGATGTGCACATGCACAGTATCACCCATTCTGCACCCATACACAAGTGTGCATGCACCTCTGCACGCCAGCAAGCATGCACACACACACCAGAACGTGCATTCATTGCACCAGCCTTCGTGTTTCCCATATCCTCTGACAAGCACTCATACACACAGCCTTTGTGCCATACATATTTTGTATATATACATATACACACACTCATATATATAAATATATACGGTCCTTACATGCACATGCAACCCCCTCATCAGCCAACACGCAGGTGCACACACATACACATATATATAGTCCTTACACACACATATGAGCACATGCAAATCCCATGGCACTCAACATGCAAGTGTACATGCACACACACACATACATATGGTCCTTACACGCACATATGAGCACATGCAAACCCCATGGCACTCAACATGCCAGGTGCACACACATACACATATATATAGTCCTTACACACATATATGAGCACATGCAAACTCCATGGCACTCAACATGCAGATGCACACACACACACGCACATATATATATATACATATGTATATGTAACATACATAACATATAACATATATATACATATATATGCGTCTTAGGCACACATGTGAGCACACGCATCCCCCCGCCGGCCAGCATGATATATATATACATATGTATATGTAACATACATAACATATAACATATATATACATATATATGCGTCTTAGGCACACATGTGAGCACACGCATCCCCCCGCCGGCCAGCATGCAGGTGCCCCCCGGGCGGG